CTGTGCCATCGAAATTCTGTTCTGAGGGCCAAGAGACTGGGCTTTCCTTGAAATTCTGAGCCAAACCCCTCACTCCTTTCTTAGAAGGACCCCCTCCCCTTCTCAGAGGGCTGAATTGAACTCTTGCAACTATGGTGAACACAAAGGCGAATTCAGGTTTCTCAAAGGCCCATCCGCTCTGAATAAACACTAGGCAGAAGCAAGATCATTTTGGGTGGTGCATAAGCACAGGCCTGCAGCCCGTTGTCTCTCTGGAAGGCTCTGATGGGATCTGCATTAAAAGCAACAGTATTGGGGCAGCAGGCGCTTGAGCGCCCCATTGCTCAGCTGGAGCAGGAATGTGGGGACTAACTCCCCACTGCCCTCTTTCATCCTACCCACAGCTTTTCAAGAGGAGTTTGGTTTCTCTGAGTGTGTGCTTGCTAATTGCAGCCTTGGCTCTAATGAGATTCTTTTTACTCTCCCAAGCTGGCTTGCAGGTTACAGCGTTATCTGGGGACCCACGTTTTCCACCCTGGCTATACGTCCCGTGAACAATCGCCTCTCCAGAGCCTGAAAGGAAAGCGAGCGCCCCGATTCTGCTGAATGCACGTCTCAGTTCATCCAGGGCTGGCGGGCTTTTGATGGTCACAATGCAAGTTACACCCAGAGAGTGTCTCTTTGGTCAGATCGACAACGCTTGGCTTCACGTTTGCAAGTTAAACGGGCAGAAACTGGGCTGAAACTCCCACGCCAGACGCCGGGGACATTTCCCTCCACCCTGCCCTGAGCAGAACTGGGGAAAGGGTCTGGACGGGGGAGGAAGAAAGAGAGGGGTGGTAGAGAGGAGGGGAGAGGAGAAAGGAGTCCTGATTCTCAGCAGCCATAAGGGGGGGGGCATTTTCTCTGGCATTTCTTTCTCATTTTTGTTTTATTTTTCCATTTTGGTTTGTTGGCAGCTTTACCCAAACAAAAAAATAAAATGAAAGCATTTTCTCCTTGTCTTCACCTAGGTAGCTGTTTTCCTCTAGTCCCTGAAAATGTGACTCCTTCATAAAATCAAAATTTATGATTATTCAAATGTTGGGGACTGTGAAAAGAGAGGAAGAAAGAGAGAAAATTAATATTGCAGCTGTTCTTCTGATTAATGAGAGATAATTGCTCATGAAAAGTCACCCCTGTGGCATTTTGTTGTCTCCTGGATCTTTGTTCTTTTCCACTATTATTGAGGACTTTCTTGAAGACTAAGCGGTTCTTTTCAATTTTGGGGTATTCAGAAAGGGTTGCCTGGTTACAGAGAATGGGGAAATCTCGGGCTATATCGGGTAAGATGTGCCACAGACAGCAATATCACAATGCCATTTCGGAGAAAAGGATGGATACAAGTTAACGATGCGCTTTCAATAAAACATTCATAGACTTGTTCACGCTTTGATAATGACCTCATTAAAGGGAGCTAGGGGCAAGTAAGTCCTGTCTCCTGTTTGTGTTCTGCTAACAAAACCCAGCTTTGAGATCATTCATCGCTTTGGAAACTAATATGAAATCAATGTAAGAGAAGCAAATAAATCCCAGGCAGCCCCGCCAACTCCTGGGCTGTCCTGCTCTGCCAGGCCTCCATTTGGAGCACGAGAACCATGTAGGCAAATGCTGAAACTGAGAGGGGAGAAAAAGACTGAGGATGGGAAAGGGGGAACATTTTGTTGGTAGAGAGGGAGGGGCAAGGATAGCCTGAAAAGAGGCTAAGCACATCATTGGGTCGGAACAGTGTGCCCTGTTGGATAAGCAATGCTAAATCTCCATCCTTTACTTTCCCCCCCAGACTCTGTCTGTGAAAGGAAATGGGAAGAAATAGAAGTGAGAGGCGAACATGGGCTTTAGGTCAGATTCCATCCCGGAAGAGGGAAAAAGTACAGGAAGACCTTTTGAAACCTAGAACTAAGAAGAAAACTACTGACCCAGGTGCAAACTGAAGAGTCCAGAGGCAAGAAGGCAGTGGCTGTTGGGCTTTTTAGAACAGCTTTTTTTTTTCTAAACTGAAGGTAGGATGGGGGTGCCCTGGCTGGGAGGAGGTAGGAGACAATTTGTTGACTTTGCATTTGTGACACTGCCTTGCACTCAAAGAAGACAAAGTTGTCCTCTACCATCCTGAAGAGAGGGAGGAAATCAAAGGATTTACCCCTCCCCTTAGAAAGGACTAATTTTCTCCTTGAATTATGAAAGTAATGGCTTAGGTAACAGCCTGTACTCTGTACCCGACTGCTTAATACCAAATAAATCCTTCCACGTGGCTCCCGAGTCATGGCAATTAGAGCTCATTATAGGCTCATAAGAGCTCTCATTTTGGGGATTACTTAATGGATGATGAAATTTTATCAGACAGAATCACTGAGAAATAAAATTGTGCAGCCGCAAAAGCAACATGGGCACATGCCTGACGATCTATCTGGTTCCTCTGAGGAGAAGACTGAGCATAGGGTCCCCTTCTGCTATGAGCAGTTTTGGGGGTGCTGCTCCCTAGGGAATGCTCATCCTATCCTGGACAGGGCCAATGGCAATGGTGTCCAGTGCCATGGAGTAGCAGGCTTACGGGGGGCAGGGGGGCGGGGAGCTGGCTTCTCATGATCGGGCTAGATTCACGGAAGGAAGGAAGGAAGAGAAAGAAAGGTACAGAGCGGCACAGAAATCTAAAAAGAATGAGAGAAAAGAGGGTAGAGACTATGCAGGGGTTACAACTCCAAAATACTTGCTCTTGGTGGGCCCAAGGAATTAACCAAGTACCCTATGCACAAGTTTCTCAGACATAGCTCTGTGTTCAGCCAAGGCCTGGGTCCTGAAGCAGCCACAATATTTGCAGCACCCCGCCCCCCAAACAAAAAACAACTCTGGGCCCCTCACCTTTCTCAAAATTCCTTGGCACTGGAAACTGAGTATTTCCATAGACATAAATTAAAGGAGATACATAAGTCTCTGGCATAATTAAGATTTCCTCAAAGAAAACAGTCTGTGTACAAGCACAATTTGTAGCACATTAGCAGAGGAACACACTCAAAACCTCTGGGAATACTGTGACACAAGAGTCACCCCCAAACAGATTGGATAACCTACCTAACCTAGGGAAAGAGAGGGAGCAAACTATTACTCTAAAAAAATCAGTGGAGGTGAGAATCTATTCATTACCTGAACAATTTAGGCCTTAAAAAATACCCCATTGTAAAGTCTCTCTCAATTGTTGAACTCTTAATCATTTTCCTGGGGTGGGAATGGTTTCCAAGGACTGCCTGGATGGTCCTATCCCAAGCAAGGGAGGGCTAGACTGCGCTGGGCAGGCTGGGGTCAGGCTGAGTCTGTGAAGGTAGCATCAGCCAATCTTGTGGTACAAAAGTAGTTACAGCTGAGCTGCCCCACATTAAGCCCCAAGACTCCCTAATTGTTGTCACAAGATGTTGTATTAGCACATTTCTGGAATAGCTGTCTGTGTACACTCCGGAGACCCTCGTCCACTAACCACTTTCTAATTGAATTCTAATCACATTCAAATAGCTCAATAACCAGCCTCAGCTGCAATTCATAAAACTTTAATTGCCATCCATAAATCCTGGGCTCCCCTGAGCGGGTGTCCCTACAACCCAATTACACTTCACCAGCAGGCAAGCGAGACAGTCACAGAGATAGGAAGGAGAAGAAAGAGAGAATGACTATGCAGAGACAGAACCATGCCTCCAGCCAGCACTCTCCTGCATTTGGGCACTTTGTTCCCTCAAGTGATGCAGTCCTTGTCTTCAAGTTTTTAGCACCTTTGTGAATGCAGGCCTGAAGTTAGCTGTTCTGGGAGAAGAACCCAGTTTGCCTTGTAGCTGTTGCTCAGCCCTGCTTTTCTGCAGGGGAAGAGAAGAGACAGCTGTCATCTCTGTTGCTCCATCTTCCCCAAAGATCAAGAACCCCAACCATGACAGCTGCCCCCTCTCCAAGCTGGGAGCACAGAACTCTTCCACAGACATGTGCCACCAAGACAGATTTCCTTTACCACTTCTTCCAACTAGAAGCAGTGTTCTGTGAGTGGCTGCATCCCTTCATCCTTTTTAGGATTCGGGGATGCAGAAGGACAGAGCTCCCTGGTTAGCTTCATCAGCAGCTCAAGATCATTACAAGTGAGAGGAACAGATCACTAGACAGAGCGAAGGTTTCCCCCAACCGTGGTTGGTGTTTGGTCCTCCGGTCTTCTCTCCAAAAAAAGTGAAGAAGAGCGTGATCCCGTGCCCTTTCTCTCTTCCTCCCCCTTCTTTTCCTCCCTCCATCTAAAGGGGAGCTGCCAATTAGAAAGGGGAGCTGTCTATTAAAGGGTCGAAGGTCTGAGTGCCCCCAGGAGGGCCCTAAGTACAAAGGCACTTTAGCCCTTTTCTAGCATCAGAATGAAACTTTTGATGGCTTCTTGGGCCAAAGCCTCACTGTTGCATGCCGGGTCCATTGTGAACGAACCACCTGAATGACCTTGGCCAAGTCCAAAAGCTGGGGGGACAGAAAGAGCTGTGAGCGTGGCCCTAGCCGCTCTGGGGACTAGATCGCTGCCAGTCCGCCTCCTAATCCACTGCGCTTCAGCCACCCGGCACAGAGGAGCCGAGCAGCGTTGCGCGTCCCTATAAGAAAAGGCCACGCAGTCCCCACCTGGTGCGCCCTGTGCCAGGGCGCGGGGACGAGTTGGGCTGGGGCGTAGACTAGGGAGGGGGTAGGATGGAGGGCGCTGAGCTGTGATTTCTCACGGGGAAACGTGGAGAAAGAGGGGGAGGAGGCCGGCCTCCCCGGGAAATTAACAAAACCTACACTTTGCAAAGTCTCCCCCTCCCCTTCCCCGCGTTCTTCCATGTCGCGCGCCCGCCCCTCCTCGCTGCTCTGTTGAGACTCGGGCAGCCTATCCCGAGGGTGGGGAGCTGCCGAGCAGCCAGAGCCGAGCGGTATTCTGCAGCATCACGTGCCGGAGTGGGGGCTATAAAATCCCGGAGCCGGGGCGCCGGGCGGGGGACGCAAGGACCAGCCCTCTCCTGGGACCCCTTTGTTCGCGGCCCAGACGCCGACACCTCCGCATCCCCAAGGGCTCGACCGCCCGCGTCGGCGCAGCTCCGGGGGCAGAGCTCAGGACACCAGAGGGGAGGGGGCGCCGCGGCCGGCCGGGGCCTGCAGCCTCGGGTCCCTCCCGACATGTCGCGCTCCTTCTATGTCGACTCCCTCATCATCAAGGACTCTTCGAGGCCCGCGCCCTCGCTGCCCGAACCGCACCCGGGGCCGGATTTCTTCATCCCGCTGGGCATGCCATCTCCATTGGTGATGTCGGTGTCCGGGCCGGGCTGCCCGTCCCGCAAAAGCGGCGCTTTCTGCGTGTGCCCGCTCTGCGTCACTTCGCACCTGCACTCCTCTCGCGCGCCCGCGGGCGCTGGTGGCGGAGGCGCAGGGGCCGGGGGTACAGGGGTCGGTGGCAGCGGGGCTACAGAGGGCACCGGGACCCTGCCTCTGCTCAAGAGCCAATTCTCTTCGGGCCCCGGCGACGCGCAGTTTTGCCCACGGGTGAGCCACGCGCACCATCACCATCACCAGCCCCAGCAGCATGGGTCGGCGGCGGCGGCGGCGGCGGCGGCGGCGGCGGCGGCGGCCGCCGCAGCTGCCCTGGGGCACCCACAGCACCACGCACCTGTTTGCGCTGCCACCACCTACAACGTGGCGGATCCGCGGAGATTCCACTGCCTCACCATGGGTAGGGTGGGGTCTCGGGCACCTGGGCGCTTCGACTTTCGCGCACTTAGGAGCAAACTTTCCTCCCTCAGTGGAGGAAGTGGGAGCCCGGAGGAGGGGTGGGGACGGGTGGGAGGGAGGAGGGCCTTTTAGTGTCGCTGTGGAATCCTCCCCTGGAAGTTCCACGAAGGTGGAAGGTAGCTCGCCAACCTGTCCACGCAGCCTGATGCATTCGCTCTGGGTCTACCGCGCTCTATACGGGACTTGCGGTCTGCGAACGGGACTGCGGAGTAAACTTAGGTTAGCTGCCTCAGGTTTGGGGTGCGTGTGTTTGAACTTAAGTGTGACATCCTGCGTCTAGGCTGGCTGGCTAAAGCGTTCTAGTGCTTTTGGCTGAGGCTGCACGCTTGAGGTTAGGTTCGAGGGAGCCAATGAGACGAGGGCAAGCTCATAGTCCCCCTTCAAGGCTCTAACTTCGCGTCCTGCGAATCAAAGGGCGGAACTTGCTTTGGGCGTATCTTTCCCTCCTGGGTGAGCAACGACTTGCCTTGAGATGGGAAAGCGCGAGGATGGACACTGGTATTCGGTCGGGCTGGGTCCTGGAGTTTTGTCCTTCGCGGGGAATGGTAGTGGGGTGGGAGTCCCTAGCCCGCCTGACCTCTCTGCTCTCTCTTGGCCGGTCCGCAGGAGGTTCCGACACCAGCCAGGTGCCCAACGGCAAGAGAATGAGAACAGCGTTCACCAGCACACAGCTCCTGGAGCTGGAGCGGGAGTTCTCTTCCAACATGTATCTGTCTCGCCTCCGGAGAATCGAAATCGCTACCTACCTGAACCTGTCGGAAAAGCAGGTGAAAATCTGGTTTCAGAACCGCCGGGTGAAGCACAAAAAAGAGGGGAAGGGCACACAGAGGAACAGTCACACGGGCTGCAAGTGCGTCGGGAGCCAAGCGCACTACGCGCGCTCAGAGGATGAGGACTCCTTGTCGCCAGCATCCGCTAACGAGGACAAGGAGATTTCCCCCTTATGAGGGCTCCGCCGCTCAAACCACCTGCTCTGCCAGGCCCCCTCCCCACCCCGGCACCTTCGTCGCACCTTCGGAAGGAACCTGGCGTCCTGGGGAATTCAGAGCTGGGCCTAACCCTTCAGGTCTCCTTCTTGACCTTGTTTATTTGGAGCTCCATTTGGAGTTATAGATCGTTTTTTAAAAATGTAAATAATCTAGAATCCAACTCAGTCTTATATAACAGGAAAAACAGGGTTGTTTTAAGTTTAACACTGTATGGGGTTTTTGAAAGCGCATGTTATTTTTCCACCCCTGTCTTTCAGAACTTGATGACAGCATGGGGTTTCTTCATTTTTGTTGTTATTTTGAAGTGAAATCACTGAATTTGCCAACAATTTAGAAAATTAAACCCTGTAGGTCTTGCTTTCTGAAAATTTGCCTGGGGAGAATTTTAAATCCAAGTCACTGGAAGTCCCTTTGTATGTGAATAGTTTTATATAAAATTTATATTTATATTTATTTAAATAAATAAAACAAAAATCAGGATTTTAAATTGTGGTGTTTGTTCTCACCATGTTTTCCCTTCTCTCACACCTGGAGAAAGACATTGACGGAGAAAAATACCTGAGGCCTTAGAGGAAAGTATTAACTGCAACTTGGGGATGTGGGTGGTTCTTGGCTGAGGGAATTTGTGGCTTTATAGATTTTCTGTGTGATAGAAGCTTGTGCTAAGGAAACACTTTCAGTCCTGATGCCCTCTCCTAATCACCCCCAACACTCAAAACAAGTGACTGCCTCACCGTGGACAGAACAAATCACTCATTTAGAACCACATTAACAATGATGACAGGCAAACCTTCTCTTTAGCAAGTGAAGGTGAAAAATCCCTCACCTAGTATTTATTTTCTTCTTTCTCATTTCTGTTAGTGCCAATGCCTAACAGGAGGAATTTGCATAGTTGCAATAGGTTTTGGCATAGCAACAATCCATCAAACAAGTTGGAAGCAAACAAGCAGAAACTTACAGATGGTGCCACAGGTAACTAAAAAGCTTAATGTTCCTGGTTTCCCCTCAAAACTGAAAGACAAGAAAGTATTCTGTCTTAAGATTTACAATTTCACATTTCCAAAACAGCACAGAGATGCCACTGAACTCTTGGGGTTTGTTTGTTGCCCCCTCAGGTCCTCCCTTCCCAGGGCTGGAGGAGCACTCAGCTCCTCTTCTAGCAGCCTCCCCCGTCACCTGTGTCTAAGGGAAGTGACAAAGGAGGAAACTAGGAGATCTGAGTCCCACTAACACTCATGGGTGTGATTTCTGATTACTTCCTATAAAGAAGCCACCCAATTAGGTTCAAGCCATGGTACTGTTCACAACAATTCTTTTGGTTTGATTTACTTTAGGTCTTAACTGAAATTTCACCAGAGTCCCTGGGCTTCTAAAACCAGAAACTTTAGGAAGGAAGAGAAAGGAGCTTTTCCATTTCTTTCTCCCCCCCCCCCCCCAGGTTTCCAAACTCTCAGTAGAACACCAGCCTGGACTGCAGGAGTGAGGAGAACTGTGTGGAGTCCTGCTAAACCCAGGGCTACCCACACTTTGGATAGTAAGCTAGGCTTGTCCAGTGCAGCGGCCCCAGGTCCCCAGCTCCCTCCTGCAGGGGCCTGGGGAAGCTTTCACCTCTAGATCTGTCCACACACGGAGCCCGGGACCCCTCATGCAGTTTGCTGCGAAGAAGAGAAGGCACAGGTGCTCAGTCTTTGCTAAAGGTCTCGTCTCCCTTCTTCCCAAGAAACAGGCCTCTCTAAGGGTAAAAACAGAGGTGGGAGGAAGGGAATTTGCAGGAGCAATGAACAGGCACTTAAAGAGAATAATTCCTTCGCAGGAAAACTCAAGAAGGACAAAGAGCCCCCGCTGCCGCTCTCTGAGCTCCAGCCCAAGGCAAAGCTCTATTGGGACTGTGGGGAGATCCCTCTGCCCCCTTCCCTTGCACAGCCACCAGCTCCCCCCCCCCCCCCGGCACCCCACACACACTCTGTCTGGCCCTTCTCAAGTTCACGACTGGTCTGCACCTAGGCCTTGAGCCCAGACCGTGGAGCCATGCATTTGTCTTGCTGGGTGCTGTTCTGAGCGCCTTGCTCTGCCACCTGGCAAAGAGATGTGTGCACCAGCCCTCCTAGGCTGCTGACGTCGTCTGGTCCCCAAGGGACAATAAACAGTATAGTTCTTTGGGGGAGAGGCTAAATGATTCTAGCAAAGATTTCTATCTCCATGACTGGGATGTTCTCTAAATAAAGAAAGGTTCTCCAAGGTTCCCAGGGAGATTCCCCTTCTCCTAGGGTGGCCTTTTTGTCACTTTTGGAGTGCAGCACATTTTCTTACTCTATTAAGATAGATTTTACATCTTTCCCAACTTCTCCCTAAAAGAAAATCAGAAATCCAGAATTTGATTTTGAAGGCCTGTTGTAGTTTCTCACATTAGTTTAAGAATGGTTAAGTCAACAGACACACAAACTCAGAAACACAAATAATCTGCTAAGTAATCCATAGGTAAACACTCCAAGTGTTATCTTTCCCTAAATCTATTAGAGAGGAAGGTTTCAGATACATAGGGCCACCACCATGGCTACCCGGAAAGCCCTGGGTTCTAGCTTTCATAGGTCCCACTTGCAAAATAGAAACAGAGCACTTTTCACCCAATACATGACCTTTTAGAGACCTAAAGAGAAAAAGATCAAAAGAGAGCGAAAGATCAAAAAGAGAGTAAAAGATCAAAAATGAAAATTAGAACCCAGGAACTTATTCCACCAAGAGAAAAGGGGTGAGCAACAGGAACCATTAGTATGGCTAAGACCCCATCTGAGAATGAGTCACATGACAGCTTTAAACAGGGAAAGAGCTGGGGGTGGGGTAAAAGGCTGAAAGCAACACCTCTCACCTCTGGGCCCTGGCCCAGCCCAGACGTTCAGAGCAGAGAGGAGTGGAAACCTTTCCCCTCCACCCTCCCACTCAGTGACCAACACGTGCTCAAGTCCAAGGCACCTTGGCCTCAGGCAAGGCTTCTTAATTGTAAATGATGGCAAAGGCAGAAGGAGCCCAGTAGCCTGTTTTCGGGGTGTCAGTGAGCCCAGGTGATGGATACCTCATAGATCTTTCCTCTCTGGGGTTCTTATTCTGAACTGGGTTCAGTGGTCATCATAGCTCACCCCCTCCCCAGATAGCTCATGGTTTTAGGAGAAACACAAACTTGGGGACATGAAGTTCTCAATTCCTGGCATCTTCTTTCCTCCCCTCATCCTTAATCCAGGACGTTTCTGTCTAATTATATCTGATCAAGATTGTGTAGTTTATTTGGGCCACTCTGACTGTGGTCAAACAATGCTAGGAAGGTGGTTGTTGTATTAAAAATGACCAAGGGGACAACAGGGACTATGTGTGTAGGTATGAATAGTGTATATGTGCATCATGCATGTGTGTGAGTGTGTGTGTGTATGATTTTGGTGGATGGAGAGGAGAGAGAGAACAAAGAAATTGGTGTTGGTCATGTAGGTGGAAAGAGTAATTTTCATTAGGTTTTCTTTTTCTTTTTTTTTTTTTTCACTTTGCTTCCTACTTTTAGCTTTCTTGCAGGTTTCACTCACCTTTTGTGGCACTCCTTGAGAGTGCTCTTTGAGGTGTGTGGGAAGGCTCTTTGTAGCCAGGACAAGGAGAAACCAGGTGAGCATCCTGGGAGGGGGTGAGAGCTCTGGGGCAGGAGCCCAGGCTTAGCCTAGGACAGAGAGGAGAGGGCAACACTTCCAATGGAAACTATTTGCTAGAAGAAATTGGGTTTAAAGGAGCAATCACTCCCAGAAAAGGAGCTCCTCCCACCTTCTCCAAACACAGCCAAAGCTGTCCTAGACGATGAATGCAGCTGGTGCGTCAGAGCAATTGTTCTATCTTCATTATTCACCCAGAATCTTTGAATGTACCTGTTAAGGTGACAGACCTTTTAAAAGGGAACATTTTTCCATGCAATTAATTGGTACATTTACTAGGCTTCTATTAACATAATTTAATATAAATCTATTTTATAAATCTTTAGGCTCACATTACTGAAAATTAAGCTTCTCTTTAAAAAAAAATGCCCACTGCTCTTCCCTAAATTAGATGGAATGGAATCCAAAAAATGTGCTATTCTAAGACAGCTGGAAATATAAAAAGTAGAGGCATCTTTTGAATTGTCTTTTGTTAGTGGTGGAGGTATGAAGAAAAGAGGCAGTGTGTGCCCCCCAAAGTCCCTACCTCCAAAGCCCTTGGCACTTGGAGCTGGTAACAGGGCCAAAGAAGAACAGAAACTTTGATCTCTTAGGAACATCAGAGCTCAGACTAGAAAACAACAGTCCAGCTTCCAAAGAAATCTGCATTCAAGTTTCTTCTGTTTGGGGAAAGAAAATCCCAACCCATGAGACCTTACAGTCCTCAATGGTCCTCCACATGAAAACAGATACCCTTATCTGTCCCTGCAGCCAGACTCTGGAAGCTCAAGTGCATCCTCCAAAATTCTGGGCATTCCATTGTCTCTGAAAACAGGGCTTCGTGCTCCCTTAGTATACTGGTGTCAGTGGCTGCCCTTCTCCATTGGGTATTGCCTTTCTTCCAGCTGAGCCCTGTAGTACCTTTGTTGAGCTTTCCAAATCCCAAACCTAGGAAGGCCTCGGGGACTCCTGTGAGTGAATCCCAGCAGATCGGAAGTGTGTGGTGTGTGCTTAGGAAAGTAACTAGTTTCAGATTAATGAAACAGTGACAATTTCAATCTGCTTAAAGGCGGAGGTTGGCACTGCCCAGGCCTGAGCGTGGAGAGCTCGCCAGGCTGGGCTTTATATTGTCCCCTTTTCTGAAGAGCAGACAAAGATGGATAGAGAGACATTGAAAAGCAGGGGGAGTATTTAAAACAGCCCCATAAAGCGGGCTGTCACTTTAAGACAAGAACCATAGTGCTTTGATGACTTTGTATTAGCTGCACCGTTTCAAATAGGGGACTCAACTCTCTAGTAAGAGGAAGGAAAAAGGAAGGGGAGAGAGGGCATAGAAAGAGAGGGGGGAGGGAGAGTGGGAGGGAGAGAAGAGAAGAGAAGGACGGAAAGGAAGCAGTACTTAGCCTGTGAGCACTGTTGCGAGACTAATTCTTAAGCAACTACAGTGCTTGATTTCTGAAGTTCAAGGAGAAACAACCCACAGCAGGTGCAAGAGCAAAAAAGGCAGGTGGGAGTTGCAGCAGTGAGAAAGAACTCGGTGCTCGTGGGCGGCTGCCGGGTCTGGAGCCCTAGCCAGCCTGGCCTCAGTTTGCTGGGAAGAGCTCGCCCGTGTTAGTTGGCTGCCCCAGACGGCTTCGGATTATAATGGAAATTTTTGAGAGTTTGAAAGAAGAAGAATAGGAAGGAGGGGGAGGGTTTGCTTTAGGGGGACCACCTTCACAAAGCCTAATTTAAATTGTTTGGGGTCAAG